TAAGCTTTTTTAGCAAATCAGTGCTGCGAGCCCCTGTGTTTTTGTATGTTTCTTGGAAACTCGATTGCGAAATCCTTCCGACACCGAAGGTTTTTGAGGGATTTCGGCATGCGCGCGCGACGACGTGCGCGTGTGCACTTCGTCCCATTTCTTGTAAGGGATTCGTGAACAAGTCTTATGTTAGAACAAAACATGTCCCCGCGTATTGTTTTTTACAAGGGGACCTCAAGGGGAGCGATACCGGCCCCCCGGGGATAATGTAAATTCATATTTCGGATGGACATTTGGTCATAATCATATTTGATTTACATACCCGAAAGGGGTACGGATGACGCCGGGGGGGGGTAGAGTCTATTCTCCTGTTTGAAAGGAGAATTAATTTCTGTTCGCAATGAATTGTCCACTCAACTGCTCGCGCAAACCTCCCACCCACCCACCCGCAACTTGATTTGCAAAATCTCTTAAGACCGTGACGGTGGGTACCACATGGCATTTGGCAACGACAGCGACGCCGACGACGACAGCGACAACGACGACGACGCCGCCGACAACGACTACGACGACACCGACGACGTCTCCGACGACTTCGACGACGCCGACAACGACGACGACGACGACACCGATGACGGCGACGACGCCGACGCCGACAACGACGACGATGACAACGACGACGACGATGACGACGCTGACGACGACGACAACGACGACACCGACGACGACGACGGTCTCGTAAACGAGATGGACACGAATGACGCGATGGCGTCGGGAGTCGGACGCCGGAACGTCGACGACGACGAAGAACGAGGACGAGCGCCGACGCGACGACGACGCGAACGAAGGACGACGGACGACGTCGCAACGATGCGACGACGAGCGGAGGAGGGAGGCCGACGCGCGAAAACGGCTGATTATGAGACAACGCGGACAACGACGAGGGAGGTAGAGGAAGGACGGCGACGACGCGAACGACGAAGAAGGAGGAAGGATAGCGACGCCGACGACAACAACGACGAGGGAGGAGGGAAGACGACGACGACGACATCGACGACGACGACGACGGCGAGGAAATAGGAGGGACGACGACGAGACGCCGACGACGGACGACGACGACGAGGGAGGAGGAGGAAGGACGACCACGGCGACAACGACGACGGAAACGACCACGACGCAAAAGTGGACGACGACGACGAACACGAGGAAAGACAGAGGACGACGCAGGCGACGACGACGACGACGCGGGAGGAAGGAGGACGGCGACGACGACGACGACGACGCAAGAGCGCGCGCGCACGCTTTTGTTGAAAATCCGTGTTGCGATACCTTGTGTTTTTGTAGTTTTTCTGGACACACGATTTTGAAATCCTTCCGAAACCGATGGGTTTTGAAGGATTTCGGCATACGCGCGCGACGACGCGCGCGTCTGCACTTCGTCCCATTTTTTGCAGAGGATTCTCGCGACGGCACACGCGCAAGGGCGTTCGACAGATTTCGACATGCGCGCGCGCGAAGCCCGTTTGATAGCATTTGGTGAAAATCTTGAGAAACATATGGTTTTCTTAAGATTTCGCAAGAGCTCGCGTGTAAGCTTTTTTAGCAAATCAGTGTTGCAAAACCCTGTGTTTTTGTATGTTTCTTGGAAACTCGATTGCGAAATCCTTCCGACACCGAAGGTTTTTGAGGGATTTCGGCATGCGCGCGCGACGACGTGCGCGTGTGCACTTCGTCCCATTTTTTGCAAGGGATTCGTGAACAAGTCTTATGTTAGAACAGAACATGTCCCCGCGTATTGTTTTTTACAAAGGAACCTCAAGGGGAGCGATACCGGCCCCCCGGGGGATAGTGTAAATTCATGTTTAAGATGGACATTTGATCATAATCGTACATGATTTACATACCCGAAAGGGGTACGGATAACGCCGGCCGGGGGGGTAGAGTCTATTCTCGTTGTAGAAAGGAGAACCTACGCGGTGCAACTAATTTCTGTTCGCAGTGAGTTGTCCACTCCACTGCTCGCGCAAACATTCCACCCACCCACCCGCAACTTGGTTTGCAAAATCTCTTCAGACCGTGACGGTGGGTACCAAGTGGCACTTGGCAACAACAGCGACGCCGAAAACGACAGCGACAACGACGACGACGACAACTACCACGACGACACCGACGACGTCTCCAACGACTTCGACGACGCCGACAACGACGACGACGACGACACCGACGACGACGACGCCGACGCCGACGACGACGACTATGACAACGACGACGCGATGACGACGCGACGACCGAACCGATGACGCGACCGACGGCGGACGAAATAGGAGGGACGAGACGCCGACGACGCCGACGTGACGACGTCGACGGTGTCGAGGGAGGCAGGAGAAGGACGAAACGGCGCAACGACGACGGAAAAACGACCACGACGCCAAAGAGGACGACGACGACGAACACGAGGAAAGACAGAGACGACGGAGACGACGCGACGACGCAAGAGCGCTGGCGCAGCGCGCACGCTTTTGATGGAAATCCGTGTTTCATATACGCTTTGTGTTTTTGTAGTTTTTTGGACCTACGATTTTGAAATCCTTCCGAAACGATGGGTGTTTGAAGGATTTCGGCATTACGCGCGCGACGACGCGCGAGCGTCTGCACTTCGTCCCATTTTTTGCAGAGGATTCTCGCGACGGCACACGCGCAAGGGCGTTCGACAGATTTCGACATGCGAGCGCGCGAAGCCCGTTTGGTAGCATTTGGTGAAAATCTTGAAAACCTGTGGTTTTCTTAAGATTTCGCAAGAGCGCGCGCGCACGCTTCTTTAGCAAATCTGTGTTGCGAAACCTTGTGTTTTTGTTGGGTTGTTGGACACACGATTTTGAAATCCCTCCGAAACCGATGGGTTTTGAAGGATTTCGGCATACGCGCGCGACGGCGCGCGCGTGTGCACTTCGTCCCGTTTTTTGCAGAGGATTCACGCGCAAGGGTGTTCGACAGATTTCGACATGCGCGCGAGCGAAGCCCGTTCGATAGCATTTGGTGAAAATCTTGAGAAACATATGGTTTTCTTAAGACTTCGCAAGAGCTCGCGCGTAAGCTTTTTCTGCAAATCAGTGTTGCAAAACCTTGTGTGTTTCGTATGTCTTTTTGGAAACTCGATTGCGAAATCCCTCCGGCACCGAAGGTTTTTGAAGGATTTCGGCATGCGCGCGCGACGGCGCGCGCGGGTGCACTTCGTCCCATTTTTTGCAAGGGATTCGTGAACAAGTGATATGTTAGAACAAAAATGTCACCGCATAGTGTTTTTTACAAGGGACCCTCAGGGCCTGGGAAATTGTGATTTCATATTTAAGATGGACATGTGGTCATAATCATATATGATTTACATACCCGAAAGGGGAACCGATAACGCCGAGGGGGGGGGACCCTATCCTGTTTTTAGAAAAGGAGAATCTACGCAATGCAATCTATGTAATGCAATGTATGCGACGTCGACGGCGGCGACAGGCGGCATCGCCCGCAAAAGCCGCCACTCGCTCCGAGCGGCGGCGACGGCGACGGCGGCGACGGGCGGCATCGCCCGCAAAAGCCGCCACTCGCCCCGAGCGGCGGCGACAGCGACGGCGACGACGACGGCGGCGACGGGCGGCACCGCCCGCAAAAGCCGCCACTAAGTGCAAGCACTGTTTGGGGAAAACGAAAACGTCGAGGGGCTTCGGGGGAATCGCAACATAGGCTTCGAGGGAGTCGCAGCACTTGCGATCCATCGTCTCCGGCACGAAGATTGGTTGAAGCAGCGATGGGGGGTGAAAATGGTGGTGTGGTTCTTCTAAAGAAGAGCTGCATCTGATCACACCACATCAGCAGGGCTCGTTATGAAATTACGTAAGTTCGTTCTGCAATACGGGGTACGGTAACCACCAAAATAATCCGATGAGCCACTATTCCCCAAGCGGTTCCGAAACCTCTACGTCTTCCATGATGGTATGACATATTTTTCTCCCACGACAAGCCCTCAATGGCCCTGCACTCCCACGATGAATGAATTCTCTCGCCGGCTTGTCAGCACTGGTGCACACGACTGATGCTGGGCGAACCGCATGATAATACAATCGGAAACAATGGACTGGCGGCAAGACGACGAGACCCCCGGGAGGCCTAAGAAGGCATGCTTAGCGACTGACGACAAATTCTACGCGGATGTGATGTGCTCTGGAGCTGAATGCTGGCAAACTGTTTCCTCTCCGAGTGCGGTCACAAGAAATGCTTCTCGTGCCGCGTGGGAAAGCTTTGATCTTCAAAACCATGCTGCAGGTTGGGGTGGGCTGTTCGGCAGATCTGCGAAGCCTCGTGGGGAGCTTGTACGACGCTTCTGCGAAACAACATTGATGTTTCAAGGCATGTTCTCATGTACGAGAACCATCGCGAGCGCTTCGTGCGTGCTCAAGTTCTAGCTAGGAGTGGGGTGGGCTGCGTGGTGTCGAGGCAGACAGAAGCAGCTCCGAATGACGGGAAGTGGCCGCAGACTTCGAAGCCCACATGGTCGTGATGGCAAGCGCGATTATACAAGATCAGGGATGGCTTCAGTGGGCACGTATGCTTTAACGTGATGTGTTCGTGATTGGGTGTTGGCTATGTGAAGACGCCGCGCACGTCGCAGGCGCACAGGCAAAACGGGTGGAATGAGCGGCTGGTCTCACAGGGCCATGCTGCAGGGGTATTTTCAAGCTCGGCTTTTGATTCGAGATGGGGTTTGTGTTTGTCGATGGACCATGGTGCCAGAGCCAGTGTCAGCGTTCGGGCTGGGGCTGGGGGTGCCACGGGCGCAGCTGGCAATCAGCCTCCAGGTTCCAGGTGGACCTCGTCGCCGCCGCTGCCGCCGCGGTCGATGTGGTCGCTGTTGGCGTTCTCTTCGCCGCCGCCGTGGGCGCCGTCCGACCAAGGGGCACTCAAAGTCGGCCCCTGGGACCCTCCCCGCGGTCCATCCTGGCCGTAGCGACGGGCGCCTCCACCTAGGCCCTCCACAAGCCCCCGAGACAGAGGCGCCGACGCCGCCGTTCGCCGCCGCTCGCCCTCGCCGCCGCGGCGCCGCTGCTCGCCGCTGTCGTGCTCGTCGTGCTCCCCGCCGCCGCCGCCGCTCGCCGCTGCCGCCACGTCGTCCCGTCGAAGCGTCGGCAGCCGTCGGCGGCCGTCGGCGGCCGCCGGCGGTGCCCAGCAGACCCGAGCGGCCGGCCGCGAGGCGCCGGTCCTCGGCGCGGCGCAGTCGCCGCCCCACGGCGCGGGCACCGCGGAAGGGGCCAGCGCGAGCCCCAGCCGCTCCTGCGGCGGCGGCGGGGACGGCGGCCACGGCCGGACCACGCCGCGGCGGCGGCGGCGGCGGCTGGACGGGACGCCGCCGCGGCGAGCGGCGGCGGCGAGGATGAAGACGACGGCGGCTCGACCCGGACGACGCCGCGACCAGACGCCGTTGCCGCAGCGGCCGGCGCGGAGGCCAGGCAGAGCGAGCCTGGGCCATCTCGAGATCGTCTTCGGGGCCCCATTGGAGAGTCTCTGGGGGCCTCTTCGGCGCTCTCGGAGGCCTGTGTAGCGCATCTGGAAACGTTTCCAAACCTTCCAAGCAACGAAAACAACATGCGGATTTTGTTCGCCAATTTCGGCCTCTTGGGGCCCTCGCCTGGCCCCGGGACCATAAAACATGACTCAGGACGAAAAGCCGGACCTGGGCAAAGGGTCGGAACACCTGGGGACCCCGCATTGAAAAGATCAAAACGTCGGATGTCTGGGTTGTTGTGGAGGGGGATGGAGAATGCATGAAGTTCGGACGCACTTTAGGGGGGTCCACGATGTCGAACTGCGTGGAGCGTCTCCGCGGTCCTCTTGGGGCCCCATGGAGCGCTCTACAGGCGCTTTGGCGCCATCTCGGAGCCGAATGGGGGCTTGCGTGAGGCCAGCTTTGGCTCTCTTAGGGCCCTCGTGGGCCCTTTCGGGGCTAGTCACCTGGGCGTCGCAATCCCGGGCTGTCTTGGGGACGTCTGGGGCCCTCTTGGAGCATTTTGGGGGCCTCTCTGGCGCTGTCGGAAGTCTGTGGAACGCATCCAGACACGACACCCAATGTTTTTCTTCTCAGTGCGCCGCCCCAAGGAGGTCCCGATCCCTCCCCCGCGACCAATCTTTTCGTCCCGGATTCATTTTTGATGGCCCCCCGTGCTCGAAAACGGCCCCACATTGACAAACATCATATCGTCGGAGTCGTCTTCGGGGGGACCACAAGTTACGGACCTCTCCTGGGGTGCGTTCTGACGAGAATTTCGAAGATAATCAAACCGTGGCGACGAGGACTTGCCATGTTGAGCAACGGCATCGGTATCTTTCCCTTCTTCCAGGGCGTCCAAGACTGGGGCGTCCAAGAGGGGGTGTCGCAAGTCATGGTCCGAGGCATGTGCGCGGACGAAGAGTTGAGCAGGGAATCTATTGAGATAGTAACAGGGGGGCAATGCACTCTGGTGAGATCTCATGGCATTGGCCATGCAGCCCCCCCTCCTAATCATCGCCCCGCCTGTCGCACGGCCCCGACTTCTCCGAGTTTTGCGAAGGAAGATGGAGAGTGCCAGAAATTGCAGACTTCTTCCGAAGTTGACACGATCTTCAACTTCGTGTAAGGTTTCCGCGGTCATTCTGCGACCCTGTCGAGCGCCCTGCAGGCGCTCTTGTAGCCCCATCGTGGGGCTCGCATGGGTTCGGTCGGGGTCTCTTTGGGGCCCTCGGGTCCCACCGGGCCCATCTGCAGATATCCTCCGACATGTTGTTTTGCCCACGCGATGCCCCAGGGCTCCAGCGGGCATCTCCTCCTACAGGCGGATTTTGGAGGAAGCATAAAACATAAAACATAGTCAGAACACGTACAAACATAGCAAAGCATAATCGAAAAATCGCCCCCAGACTATCTTTGGCCTACCTTTGACTATTCCTCTGGTGGGGACATGGGCCCGACTTGAGGCCAGTTCTGCGCCCTGTTCTGGAGGGCCCCGGGGGCCGATCACGGGCCCCGCGTTTTTGAAAGATCGGACGAAACGCCCGGGCTGACAAAAATCGTATCGTCAAAAATCTGGCTTTCGTCGTCGTCGTCGTCCTCCTCCTCCTCCTCCTCCTCCTCCTCCTCCTCCTCCTCCTCCAGTCTCCTCCTCCTCCTCCTCCTCCTCCTCCTCCTCCTCCAGTCTCCTCCTCCTCCAGTCTCCTCCTCCTCCTCCTCCTTTTCGTCGTCGTCGTCGTCGTCGTCGCCGTCGCCATTCAGGGTCGGCGGCGCTGGCCGTAAGGCCTTCGCAATCGTATCGTCGAAGATCTGGCTTTCGCGTCCTCAAGGGAAACGAGCAATGACATAAACATAAGATATTTGAGGTCCGCGCGGATTTCTCGGATCGGCGCTCGACCCCCCTCCCTGGCGCGCGGAGCGCGCCAGGCGCGGTGCCGGAAGCGCCGCCAGTGGGCCCCAGCGCCGATCCGAGAAGT